AAAAAGCTCTGTCCCCTCTGAGCCTCCGCTTAGACCTCGGCACCTCCAGGAGCAGCTGATCAGCTGATCTGAGGCACCGAGCAGGAGAGTATGGGTGAAGCAGCTCAGAGAGGTAGGATGGAGCAAAACCATTTAAACTTTTAAAAACAAATAAAAGAATCTTAAAATGAACTCTAAAATGAACAGACAGCCAGTGGAGCAGAGTGGGGGTGATGTGCTCCCTTTATTGAACTCCAGTTAGAAGCTGAGCAGCAGCGTTCTGAACCAACTGGAGGCGTCTGAGGGAGGACTGGCTGACTCCAAGGTAAAGAGCGTTACAGTAATCCAGTCGAGAGGCGACCAAGGCATGGATTACTGTTTCCAAATGTTGTTTTGTAAGGATGGACTTTACCTTAGCCAGCTGTCTGAGGTGATAAAAACTGGTCTTGACCACTGCTCCAATCTGGGAATCTAATTTAAAATCACTGTCCATTTTAAAACCCAAGTTAGAAACAGTTTTCTTTACATGTGGTGCCAGAGGGCCCTGATCAACAGGGCAAGGTTCACAAGAGCCACTAGGACCAAACACCATCACTTCTGTTTTCTTTTCATTGAAATTTAAGAAGTTTAAAGACATCCAGGCTTTGATGTCTTCAAGACACAACAGAAGTGACCTAATTGAGGGGGCATCTTTCTTTTTAAGTGGCATATAGATCTGACTATCGTCAGTGTAACAATGAAAAAAGATCCCATACTTTCTAAGGATTGATCCCAATGGAAGCAGGTAAAGGGAGAAAAGCAGGGGACTTAAAATAGAGCCCTGTGGAACCCCAAAACACAGAGGAGCAGTGGAGGATTCAGACCCAGCTATGTTGACAGACATGGTTCTGTCTGCCAGATAGGACCTAAACCAGCTCAGTGAAGTACCACAAATACCCACTTGGCGCTGTAAGCGTGATATTAAAATGTTATGGTCCACGGTATCAAAGGCAGCTGTTAGGTCGAGCAGGACAAGAACCACATGTTCACCAGAATCATTAGCCATAAAAATATCATTAAAAACTCTGACTAGAGCTGATTCTGTGCTGTGGTGAGTTTTGAAGCCAGACTGAAAAACCTCCAGGATATTGTGCTCATCCAGAAAACATTTGACCTGTGAATATACAATTTTTTCTAAAATTTTTGAAATAAAAGGCAGCTTAGAGATAGGCCTAAAATTAGCCAAGACAGTTTGGTCTAGGCTAGGCTTTTTAAGCAGGGGCTGCACCACAGCATGTTTAAAACTTATTGGGACAACACCTGAGGACAGACTGCTATTGATAACAGCAAGAATCACCTGCTTGATGCTGGAAAACACCTCTTTTAAAAGACGAGGGGGGACAAGGTCACAAGGAGAACGTGATGGTCTAATATGGCCGACCACATCCTCTAAAAGGGTCAGGGTCACTGGTTCAAATCTTTCGAACACAGCCAGGCAGGGGACCAAGCAGGAGGGGTCAAAAGCAGGGGCTGAAATAAGAGCCCTTGTGGTAACAACCTTATTTATAAAAAAACTGCAGGAAGTCATTACAAAGTTCAGTAGAGGCTTCCAGACAGACAGGTTGTGGGGCCTTCAGGACAGAGTCAATAGTTTTAAAAAGGACAAGTGGATTATTATGATTGGACACAATAATGTCTGACAAGTGTTGTTTTTTGGCCTCTTTAACAGTGTTCTGGTACTGACGTTGACAGTCATTTAAAATGTAAAATGAAACCTCCAGTTCATCCTTTTTCCATCTCTGTTCAGCTCTGCGGCACTCCTGTCTGGCTGCAATAGTTTTTTCATTAAACCAGGGTTCAGATCTGGCTTTAGGCTGCACCAGTTTAGATGGAGCTACACAGTCCAAAATGGTTTGACAGGAGGAGTCAAACCAGGAGCTCAGCAGTTCAGTGTCAGCAGCAGAGCCAGAGGGAGCACAGAGCTGTTCAAAGGCAGCAGAGAACTGACCAGCAGTGGAAGGGTTAAAAATTCTACGTCGCTGGGCAGGAGCGCAGGATTTAACTTGAGCACAGGACAAACCAACATCAAATAAAACAGGCCTATGGTCAGAAATCACATTATCATATAGTTCCAGGTCGTTCACAGACAAGCCGTGAGAGAGAACCAGGTCCAACGTGTGTCCATATTCATGTGTGTGACCAGCCACCCACTGAACCAGGTTAAATGAGTCAGTGAGGCTGAGAAAGTCCTTCACCAGTGGTTTCTCTGGGCAGCATACATGTATGTTAAAATCCCCAACAATAAGCACTCAATCATAGTTTATCATTATTCCAGTCAGGAAATCAGAAAAGTCATTCAAAAAATCCTTATTATATTTAGGGGTTCTGTAGATGACAGCGGGTGTGAGCAACCCACCTCAAATAAAGTCACCTCGAAGCTGGAGAATGAAGATGGTGCAGAGCACTGCTTGCATTTAAAGTTGTTTTTATAAACCACCGCCGTTCCTCCTCCACGGCCTGACATCCGAGGGGAGCTTAGATAAGAGCAGCCGTCTGGTAGAAGTTCAACAAAAACACTGGAGTCATCAGCCTCTACCCAGGTCTCTGTGATGCAGAGCAAATCCAAATGACGGGAACTGAAAAAGTCCCGCAGGATGAAAGTTTTGTTTGTCAGAGATCTGGCGTTCACCAGGCCAATCCTGGCAGAAACCGCAGCATGTAAACTGACGGGCGCTAGGGCCCGGGGCAGCATCTTCAGGCTCTGCAGGTTCACTCCACGCCGGTGGAGCCGAGAGAAGCAGGAGGGGTGGAGGCGAACGCCCGCATCCAGGCCGGTGACAGGTAGCAGGCAGCTGTCAACAGGATCCAGGAACTGCCAAGGCACAGAGAAAGACGGAAATAATCCATTTCTTGTCTGAGAAATGGACGTAGAACGGGCCAGGCAGATCTTTAGTTTCACCAGCTGTCCTCCACGTTTACCGCAGTAACAACGACGTTTCCGCCGGGGGGGCAGCACAGGTGCCCGGAGGAGATGAGCTGGGACTCCTGACAGGAGCGGGGGTAAAGTTTTCTGTCCACCTTTATCAAAGGCATTGAGATTGCCAACAACATGTCGAATATCCAGGAGGGACTGGCGATTGTACACAAGCACAGACTTAGTGCTGAGCACAAAACAGAGAAATAAACCAAACCAAACCATGAGCGACAGACGGACGGCCACACACACTGGCGCCATCTTGAATCTACTCTTTCTTAAGGATCCCTGTTCAATAATGTATCTTCCGGTCAGTGATCACCAATAAACAGATGTTTTATTTGGGACTTCCACTACAGTCCATCAGCATTTACCTACAAAGACCTGTTGTACAAGATGGTTTTAATCATGGTGGGAATAAAGCATTTTGTATTGAATATGGATAAATTTTCAATTTTATATATGGCTCTGCCTTCATATATAGTTTTCACAAATTATTGGTAACAGTTTTCTTTCTCCTGTGTTTCATGTATGCATGTGTCTATGTGTGTGAATCTTTTTCTCACCAGCTGATTCCACCAGAGCCAGAGTCTTGAGATGGCCCGACATCAGGACGTTGTGCAGATCTTGATAGCAACAGTTAAGAGTGATGTACCTTACATCTCGCACCATAATGTCTTCCACACGAATGTTATACTTCCTGAGACAAGAAAAGGAATGAATGAATAAATAAATAAATGAGCATGTTCAAAAAAGAAGAGGACTTGACTAAATGGTTTATGAAGATAATGAATAAATGACAAAGCAAATAAATAAGTAAACAGTATAGAAAAGATACACTTTTAAATATCACATCCAGGAGTTCTCTGTGAAATGATTATAGTGCTGTGGAAGCATTTCTTTTTCTCAAAACCTTAATTAATGCATAAGTCATAAAATATTTTTGATATCTAACCATCTATAAAGATATCCTGTTTCCTTATAATTTTCTTTAAAAAGTCTTCAGTTAATCCAAAATGCTGCTGCCAGAGTCTTAACTGGAGTTAGTAGGAGAGATCATATTTCTCCAGTTTTAGTTTCTCTCCATTGGCTCCCTGTCAAATCCAGAATAAAATTCAAAATCCTACTTCTAACCTACAAAGCTCTCAACAACATAGCTCCATCTTATATTTCAGATCTTATTGTTCCATATTTTCCTACCAGAGCACTTCGCTCTCAGACTGCAGGTTTACTTGCGGTTCCTAGAGTTTCTGAACGCAGAATGGGAGGCAGATCTTTCAGTTATCAGGCTCCTCTCTTGTGGAACCAACTTCCAGTTTCTGTCTGTGAGGCTGACACATTATCCAGTTTTAAAACAAACTAGGCTTAAGACTTTCCTTTTTGATAAATCCTATAGTTAGGGTTGGCTTGGGTTTCCTGAGCTATCCCTTAGTTATACTGCTAAAGGCTTAGACTGCTGGAGGACAAACTGACCACATTTCTTCATTCTGCTACTGTCTTTACTTACTCTGCTCAACTTGTTTGTATTTGTAATTATTTTTTCTATCCTTGATGTGTTTTTGTCTTTCAGGTGTACCCGGACCTATGTATGGACCTACCATTCTATGTTCGTCTGTCCCTCCTTTCTGTCCTCTCAAACCCAGACGGTCAAAGCAGATGAAAGATGGCTGCTTGTCCTGAGCTGGTTCTGCTGGAGGTTTCTTCCTTTTAAAAGAGAGTTTTTCCTTTCACCTGTTGCCATTGTGTTTGCTTAGGATGGGAGACTGCAATGAAGTGAAGATTCAACTTGTCTGCTGGCCTCCTTAGATAGAGAACTTTACTAACTGGCTTTTATATGTATGTGAATGTTCCTGTAAAGTGCCTTGAGACAACTTTGTTGTGATATGGCGCTATATAAATAAACTGAATTGAAACTGAATTGAATCATCAAGGTCACATTACTTCTCTCATGAATAGTCAAAGAGAATGAAAAGTTGCACTGTGTCCACACATTTTCCAGAGATTAGCAGCGTTCTGATGTGTATACTTTACATGGAAGTGGGTGACACTAATTTAGCTGTTCTTGACTCAGCAGAAATGCACACCCCAGTACACCAGCTATAAACATTTAGATTTATCTTCCTGCCGGAGCTTGCCAAAACCTGCAAAACACAACTGCAGTCAATCAGGGGTTTCCAATGCCAGGCCCCTTATTCATGCCAGGACACAGACTCCAGCCAAGCTGCTACTTTTTCTTATGGTGACGTCTCAATACAAAAATTTAACTGATGACCATCTCTCTTCCAAGCTCCAACTCAAGACTAATAATACACAAAGTTTAGAATAGTTCTTTGGAAAATGAACTGTGCAATTTTATAAAAATATATTTTTTCTCAAACCACTGGAGAATGTTAATTGGGTCTGTGGTAGTTTGGTGGTCAGTGCTGTGGACTTGTAACCCTGAGGTTGTGAGTTCGAGTCCAGGTTGTGTCAGGAAGGGCATCTGGCACAAAAGAATTGCCAAATCTTTCATGCGAGTTTACTTGCTGTTGCATCCCCTGAAGAAGGGAGCAGCCTAAGAAACATACTTACTGGAGAATGTTAATCGTACTCAGCCACAGTAATCAAGGTATAATCTAAAAGATCTATAATAAATACTTTAAAAACTATCATATCCTCTTTAAATGAAAAGTTTTTGATATGTTAGACCAAACTATTTATATTCAATTGTACCAAAGACACTGTTACAAAAAAGGCCATATTACAGCAAAAAAGTGCATAAAATAAAAGTACAGGAGGGTATGCAATCAAGAAAGAATTGAAATAATTATTTTTTGTTGCTACTTTTCATGAGAATATTAAGAGTAAAAATTGAGAAATGAATCATTATACATAAAGCAACACAAACACAAAAAGTGATAAAAGATTTCCTTGTCAAAAATGCTAAAGTATTGGGCACAGGTATTGTCCTCAGTTAATATTCATCAGTAAAGAGAGTGTTGCTTTGGTCTGTAATAGTGAAGTAAGAGGTGAGTGGAAAGGCAAAGCTCTCAGTTTACTGACCCATCCATGTTCCAGCACTCGCCTATGGTCATGAGGTCTGGATCATGACAAAGATTCTGGATAAAAATGGTTTCCATTGTAGGGTGGCGGTGTTGAGCCTTAAGGTGAGGAGCTCTGTCCCTTTTTTGGGGGGGGGGGGGGGGGGCTCAGAGTAGAGACCCTGCACCCCTGCATCAAAAGGAGTCAGCTGATGTCGATCAGGGAAATGATTAGGATGCCTCCCTTCCTAGGTTTTCCAGGCACATCCCACAGGTAGGCCTCCCTTCCTAGGTTTTCCAGGCACATCCCACAGGTAGGAGACCCTGGGGAAGACCAAAACTTGCTGGAAGGATTATACATCCATTATGGACTGAGAACTCCTTGGGATCCCCCAGGAGGAGTTGGAGTGTGTTGCAGGGGAGAGGGATATTGTGGTTTCCCTCACGGACTTGTTGCCACTATCACCCGACCATGGATAAGCAGCAGAAGATGGAAGGATGGCACTGTAGAAGAGTTGTTTGAATACCACATTGTTATCATGCTGTCCATAAAACTGATCAAATAAACATTTGTGGCAGAAATGAAAAGGTGGAAAAAAAATCAAGCAGAAAAAGCAATAAAACATAAAGGTGTTGCATTCCATGAAGAAATACATCAAGTTTTAGATCAAGACATTTTAAATGAGTCGTATCGATTTTGCTCAAATCTGTAAAATAACATTAAGCACAATCTCATGTAACTATAGAATATGTCACACTT